GTGCGTGCGTGTGTGTGTGTGTCTGTGTGTGTGTGCGCGTGTGTGTGCGCGTGTGTGTGTGTGCGTGCGTCTGCGTGTGTGTGCGCGCGTGTGTGTGCGTGTGTGTGTGTGCGCGTGTGTGTGTGTGCGTGTGTGTGTGTGACTGTGTGTGTGTGTGCGTGTGTGTGTGTGACTGTGTGTGTGTGTGCGCGTGTGCGTGTGTGCGCGTGTGTGCATGTGTGCGCGTGTGTGAGTGTGCGTGCGTGTGTGTGTCTGTGTGTGTGTGTGTGACTGTGTGTGTGTGTGACTGTGTGTGTGTGTGACTGTGTGTGTGTGTGACTGTGTGTGCGTGTGTGTGTGCGTGTGTCTGTGTGTGCGTGTGTGAGTGTGTGTGCCATTCCGGCCTTCACAGCTGCCGCTCGCCAGCACCACTTGCCCCTGCGGCCTGTTTGAAGGCTACACGGGGGAGCTTTAGCTGTACCACCACCACCACCACCACCGCCACCATCGCCACCACCGCCACCACCACCATCACCTACACCACCACCACCACCATCGCCACCATCACCATCACCACCACCACTGCCATCACCACCACCACCACCGCCACCACCACCGCCACCACCACCACCACCATCACCACCACCACCATCACCACCACCACCACCGCCACCACCGCCACCGCCACCACCGCCACCACCACCACCGCCACCACCGCCGCCACCGCCACCGCCACCACCGCCACCACCACCACCACCACCACCACCATCACCACCACCGCCATCACCACCACCACCACCATCACCACCACCACCATCACCACCACCACCATCACCACCACCATCACCATCACCACCATCACCACCGCCACCACCATCACCACCACCACCATCACCACCGCCACCACCGCCACCAGCGCCCCTCACCGTATGGAACCAGAACTTGACGATGGGGGCGCTGTAGAAGTCATAGACTTTGTTGAGCAGGGCAATGCCCCTCACCCTCACCCGGACCCCGCTCCATCCTCCCCCCGCTCCAACTCCCCCCTCCTCCTCGTCCTCGCCGCCGCCACCGCCTCCACCGCCTCCACCGCCTCCACCGCCGCCTCCACCGCCTCCGAGGGTGTCCCCGCAGTGTGGTGGAGGCAGAGTGTCCACAGGGTGCTGGGGAGAGGGGAGAGAGGGGAGAGAGGAGAGGGAGTGAGTGGGTGAGTGAGTGAGTGGGTGAGTGAGTGGGTGAGTGAGTGGGTGAGTGAGTGGGTGAGTGAGTGGGTGGGTGGGTGAGTGAGTGGGTGAGTGGGTGGGTGAGTGGGTGAGTGAGTGAGTGGGTGGGTGGGTGAGTGAGTGGGTGGGTGGGTGGGTGAGTGAGTGGGTGAGTGAGTGAGTGAGTGGGTGGGTGAGTGAGTGGGTGAGTGAGTGGGTGAGTGAGTGGGTGAGTGAGTGAGTGAGTGGGTGGGTGAGTGAGTGGGTGAGTGAGTGAGTGAGTGGGTGGGTGAGTGAGTGGGTGAGTGAGTGAGTGGGTGAGTGAGTGGGTGAGTGGGTGGGTGAGTGAGTGAGTGACTGACTGACTGAGTGACTGAGTGAGTGACTGACTGACTGAGTGACTGACTGAGTGACTGAGTGACTGACTGACTGACTGAGTGAGTGACTGACTGAGCGAGTGACTGACTGAGTGACTGAGTGAGTGAGTGAGTGACTGAGTGACTGACTGACTGACTGAGTGAGTGACTGACTGACTGACTGAGTGAGTGAGTGAGTGACTGAGTGAGTGACTGACTGAGTGAGTAAGTGACTGAGTGAGTGGCTGAGTGACTGACTGACTGAGTGACTGACTGACTGAGTGACTGACTGAGTGACTGACTGAGTGAGTAAGTGACTGAGTGACTGACTGAGTGAGTGACTGACTAAGTGACTGACTGAGTGAGTGACTGAGTGACTGACTGAGTGAGTGAGTGACTGACTGACTGAGCGAGTGACTGAGTGAGTGACTGACTGAGTGACTGACTGACTGAGTGAGTGACTGACTGAGTGACTGACTGAATGAGTGAGTGACTGACTGACTGAGTGACTGACTGACTGAGTGACTGACTGACTGAGTGAGTGACTGACTGACTGAGTGAGTGACTGACTGACTGAGTGAGTGACTGACTGACTGACTGAGTGACTGACTGACTGAGTGACTGACTGACTGAGTGAGTGAGTGACTGAGTGACTGACTGACTGAGTGAGTGACTGACTGACTGACTGAGTGACTGACTGAGTGACTGACTGAGTGACTGAGTAACTGACTGACTAAGTGAGTGACTGACTGACTGAGTGAGTGACTGACTGAGTGACTGACTGAGTGACTGACTGAGTGAGTGACTGACTGACTGACTGACTGAGTGAGTGACTGAGTGACTGACTGACTTGAGTGAGTGACTGACTGACTGAGTGACTGACTGAGTGACTGAGTAACTGACTGACTAAGTGAGTGACTGACTGACTGAGTGAGTGACTGACTGAGTGACTGACTGAGTGACTGACTGAGTGAGTGACTGACTGACTGACTGAGTGAGTGACTGAGCGACTGACTGAGTGACTGACTGACTGAGTGACTGACTGACTTGAGTGAGTGACTGACTGAGTGACTGACTGAGTGACTGACTGAGTGACTGAGTGTCTGAGTGACTGACTGAGTGACTGACTGACTGAGTGACTGACTGAGTGACTGAGTGAGTGATTGACTGAGTGTCTGACTGAGTGAGTGACTGAGTGAGTGACTGACTGAGTGACTGACTGACTGAGTGAGTGAGTGACTGAGTGAGTGAGTGACTGACTGAGTGACTGACTGAGTGACTGACTGACTGACTGAGTGACTGACTGAGTGAGTGACTGAGTGACTGAGTGACTGACTGAGTGACTGAGTGACTGACTGAGCGAGCGAGTGACTGAGTAAATGACTGACTGAGTGACTGACTGAGTGACTGACTGAGTGACTGACTGAGTGACTGACTGAGTGAGTGACTGGGTGACTGACTGACTGACTGACTGAGTGACTGACTGAGTGACTGACTGACTGAGTGACTGACTGAGTGACTGACTGAGTGAGTGACTGAGTGACTGACTGAGTGAGTGACTGACTAAGTGACTGACTGAGTGACTGAGTGACTGAGTAAATGACTGACTGAGTGACTGACTGAGTGACTGACTGAGTGATTGACTGAGTGACTGACTGAATGAGTGACTGAGTGTCTGAGTGACTGACTGAGCGACTGAGTAACCCACTGCTCACACACGCCCAGCGGTGGGCAGTCGCCCCCTCACCTCGTCGTGACGAGGTGGCGGCCTCTGAGGCACCGCGCCAAGTCCGCCCGCTGCATCATCAGGCGTGGCGGAGGGAGGATCGTCGCCGGCTGTGTAGGCGCCCTCACGGCCACGGTACTCCAGCGCCAGGATGCTGGGCGGGATCAAGATCCCCATGATCACCTGGAGCGGGTGGAGCAGGGTGGAGCAGGTGGAGGTGGAGGAGGTGGAGAGGGTGGAGATGGAGAGGGTGGAGGTGGAGGAGGTGGAGGTGGAGGAGGTGGAGAGGGTGGAGGTGGAGGTGGAGAGGGTGGAGGTGGAGCAGGTGGAGAGGGTGGAGAGGGTGGAGCAGGTGGAGGTGGAGCAGGTGGAGAGGGGGGAGAGGGTGGAGGTGGAGAGGGTGGAGGTGGAGGAGGTGGAGGAGGTGGAGAGGGTGGAGCAGGTGGAGAGGGTGGAGCAGGTGGAGAGGGTGGAGAGGGTGGAGGTGGAGCAGGTTGAGAGGGTGGAGAGGGGGGAGGTGGAGAGGGTGGAGGTGGAGGAGGTGGAGCAGGTGGAGAGGGTGGAGGTGGAGGAGGTGGAGAGGGTGGAGAGGGTGGAGAGGGTGGAGCAGGTGGAGAGGGTGGGGCGGGTGGAGGTGGAGGAGGTGGAGAGGGTGGAGCAGGTGGAGGTGGAGAGGGTGGAGAGGGTGGAGGTGGAGCAGGTGGAGAGGGTGGAGGTGGAGGAGGTGGAGCAGGTGGAGAGGGTGGAGGTGGAGGAGGTGGAGAGGGTGGAGAGGGTGGAGAGGGTGGAGCAGGTGGAGAGGGTGGGGCGGGTGGAGGTGGAGGAGGTGGAGAGGGTGGAGGTGGAGCAGGTGGAGAGGGTGGAGGTGGAGAGGGTGGAGCAGGTGGAGGTGGAGGGGGTGGAGAGGGTGGAGGTGGAGGAGGTGGAGGTGGAGGAGGTGGAGATGGTGGAGGTGGAGGAGGTGGAGAGGGTGGAGGTGGAGGAGGTGGAGAGGGTGGAGGTGGAGGAGGTGGAGAGGGTGGAGGTGGAGGTGGAGGTGGAGAAGGTGGAGGTGGAGAGGGTGGAGAGGGTGGAGAGGGTGGAGCAGGTGGAGAGGATGGGGCGGGTGGAGGAGGTGGAGAGGGTGGAGCAGGTGGAGGTGGAGAGGGTGGAGAGGGTGGAGAGGGTGGAGGTGGAGCAGGTGGAGAGGGTGGAGGTGGAGAGGGTGGAGAGGGTGGAGAGGATGGAGCAGGTGGAGGTGGAGAGTGTGGAGAGGGTGGAGGTGCAGCAGGTGGAGAGGGTGGCGAGGGTGGAGGTGGAGCGGGTGGAGCAGGTGGAGGTGGAGAGGGTGGAGAGGGTGGAGAGGATGGAGGTGGAGAGGGTGGAGGTGGAGAGGGTGGAGTAGGTGGAGAGGGTGGAGAGGGTGGAGAGGATGGAGGTGGAGAGGGTGGAGGTGGAGAGGGTGGAGTAGGTGGAGAGGGTGGAGAGGATGGAGCAGGTGGAGGTGGAGAGTGTGGAGAGGGTGGAGCAGTTGGAGGTGGAGGGGTGGAGCAGGTGGAGAGGGTGGAGGTGGATGAGGAGGTGGAGAGGGTGGAGGTGGAGCAAGTGGAGAGGGTGGAGGTGGATGAGGAGGAGGTGGAGAGGGTGGAGCAGGTAGTGGATGAGGTGATGTATGAGGAGGTGGAGCAGGTGGAGAGGGTGGAGAGGGTGGAGGTGGATGAGGAGGGAGCGGGTGGAGAGGGTGGAGCAGGTGGAGGTGGATGAGGTGATGTATGAGGAGGTGGAGCAGGTGGAGAGGGTGGAGAGGGTGGAGAGGGTGGAGGAGGGAGAGGTGGAGCAGGTGGAGAGGGTGGAGAGGGTGGAGGTGGATGAGGTGATGTATGAAGATGAGGAGGTGGAGCAGGTGGAGGGAGGCTTGGGGTTATCCTTCAGTAGCTCCTCCACAGATGTCGCCTCCTCAGCCAGCCACTCACAGGGGGCGACTTCTCCCTCCGATATTGGTGGATGCACCGCAGCCTCAGCAGAGTCATCCTCGCTCTGTCCCTTCGATGGATCCCAGGCCGAGGGATTTGTCTCATCTCTCTCCACGGAGACCTCGCAGAAATGGTCAGCCCCAGCACACGCACGTGTGGGTAGTGTGTGTGTATGTGTAGTGTGTTGTGTATGTTGTGTGTGTGTTGTGTGTGTACACGTGTGTGTGTGTTGTGTGTGTGTGTAGTGTGTGTGTACAGGTGTGTGTTGTGTGTGTATGTGTGTGTAGTGTGTGTGTTGTGTGTGTATGTTGTGTGTGTGTAGTGTGTTGTGTATGTTGTGTGTGTGTGTGTTGTGTGTGTGTGTTGTGTGTGTGTTGTGTGTGTTGTGTTGTGTGTGTTGTGTGTGTGTAGTGTGTGTGTAGTGTGTGTGTACATGTGTGTGTGTGTTGTGTGTGTGTGTATGGTGTGTGTGTGTGTTGTGTGTGTGTAGTGTGTGTGTACACGTGTGTTGTGTGTGTTGTGTGTGTATGTTGTGTGTGTATGTTGTGTGTATGTTGTGTGTGTGTATGTTGTGTGTGTGTTGTGTGTATGTTGTGTGTGTGTGTATGTTGTGTGTGTATGTTGTGTGTGTGTGTATGTTGTGTGTGTGTGTACACGTATGTTGTGTGCGTGTGTGTATGTTGTGTGTGTGTGTGTGTATGTTGTGTGTGTGTGTATGGTGTGTGTGTGTACACGTATGTTGTGTGTGTTGTGTGTGTTGTGTGTGTGTATGGTGTGTGTGTTGTGTGTGTATGTTGTGTGTGTATGGTGTGTGTGTGTACACGTATGTTGTGTGTGTGTATGTTGTGTGTGTGTTGTGTGTGTGTAGTGTGTGTATATGTTTTGTGTGTGTGTGTGTATGTTGTGTGTGTGTATGTTGCGTGTGTGTATGTTGTATGTGTGTGTTGTGTGTGTATGTTGTGTGTGTATGTTGTGTGTGTGAACACGTATGTTGTGTGTGTGTGTTGTGTGTGTGTGTATGCTGTGTGTGTGTATGGCGTGTGTGTATGGTGTGTGTGTGTATGTTGTGTGTGTATGTTGTGTGTGTGTGTATGTTGTGTGTGTGTGTGTACACGTATGTTGTGTGTGTGTATGTTGTGTGTGTGTATGTTGTGTGTGTATGTTGTGTGTGTGTATGTATTCTGTGTGTGTGTATGCTGTGTGTGTGTATGTTGTGTGTGTGTATGTATGTTGTGTGTGTATGTTGTGTGTGTGTATGTTGTGTGTGTATGTTGTGTGTGTATGTATGCTGTGTGTATGTATGTATGTTGTGTGTGTGTATGTTGTGTGTGTATGTTGTGTGTGTATGCTGTGTGTGTGTGTATGCTGTGTGTGTATGTTGTGTGTGTGTATGTTGTGTGTGTGTGTAGTGTGTGTGTATGTTGTGTGTGTGTATGCTGTGTGTGTGTGTATGTTGTGTGTGTGTGTGTTGTGTGTGTATGTTGTGTGTGTGTATGCTGTGTGTGTGTGTATCCTGTGTGTGTGTATGCTGTGTGTGTGTATGTTGTGTGTGTGTGTGTATGCTGTGTGTGTATGTTGTGTGTATGTTGTGTGTATGTTGTGTGTGTGTGTGTATGCTGTGTGTGTATGTTGTGTGTGTATGCTGTGTGTGTGTATGCTGTGTGTGTGTGGTGTGTGTGTGTGTGGTGTGTGTGTATGTTGTGTGTGTGTATGTTGTGTGTGTGTGTGTATGCTGTGTGTGTATGTTGTGTGTGTGTATGCTGTGTGTGTGTATGCTGTGTGTGTGTGGTGTGTGTGTGTGTGGTGTGTGTGTATGTTGTGTGTGTGTATGTTGTGTGTGTGTGTGTGTATATGCTGTGTGTGTATGTTGTGTGTGTATGCTGTGTGTGTGTATGCTGTGTGTGTGTGGTGTGTGTGTGTGTGGTGTGTGTGTATGTTGTGTGTGTATGTTGTGTGTGTATGCTGTGTGTGTATGTTGTGTGTGTATGCTGTGTGTGTGTATGCTGTGTGTGTGTATGTTGTGTGTGTGTGTGCTGTGTGTGTATGCTGTGTGTGTGTGCTGTGTGTGTGTGTATGCTGTGTGTGTGTGCTGTGTGTGTGTGTGCTGTGTGTGTGTATGCTGTGTGTGTGTGTTGTGTGTGTGCTGTGTGTGTGTTGTGTGTGTGTATGCTGTGTGTGTGTATGCTGTGTATGTATGCTGTGTGTGTGTATGCTGTGTGTGTGTGCTGTGTGTGTGTATGCTGTGTGTGTATGTTGTGTGTGTGTGTATGCTGTGTGTGTGTGTGTGTGATGTGTGTGTGTGTGCTGTGTGTGTGTATGCTGTGTGTGTGTTGTGTGTGTGCTGTGTGTGTGTTGTGTGTGTGTTGTGTGTGTGTTGTGTGTGTGTATGCTGTGTGTGTGTATGCTGTGTGTGTGTATGCTGTGTGTGTGTATGCTGTGTGTGTATGCTGTGTGTGTATGCTGTGTGTGTGTGGTGTGTGTGTGTAGTGTGTGTATGCTGTGTGTGTGTGTGCTGTGTGTGTGGTGTGTGTGTGTATGCTGTGTGTGTATGCTGTGTATGCTGTGTGTGTGTGTATGCTGTGTGTGTATGCTGTGTGTGTGTGTATGCTGTGTGTGTATGCTGTGTGTGTATGCTGTGTGTGTGTATGCTGTGTGTGTGTATGCTGTGTGTGTGTGCTGTGTGTGTGTGCTGTGTGTGTGTATGCTGTGTGTGTGTGTATGCTGTGTGTGTGTATGCTGTGTGTGTGTGTGCTGTGTGAATGTATGCTGTGTGTGTGTGTATGCTGTGTGTGTATGTTGTGTGTGTGTGTATGTTGTGTGTGTGTATGTTGTGCGTGTGTTGTGTGTGCGTATGCTGTGTGTGTGTATGCTGTGTGTGTGTGTAGTGTGTATGTTTTGTGTGCGTATCTTGTGTGTATATTGTGTGTGTGTGTGTATGCTGTGTGTATGTATGCTGTGTGTGTGTCTATGCTGTGTGTGTATGCTGTGTGTGTGGTGTGTGTGTGTGGTGTGTGTGTGTAGTGTGTGTGTGTATGCTGTGTGTGTGTGTGCTGTGTGTGTGGTGTGTGTGTGTATGCTGTGTGTGTGCTGTGTGTGTGTGTATGCTGTGTTGTGTGTGTGCTGTGTGTGGTGTGTGTGTGTATGTTGTGTGTGTGTGTGTATGTTGTGTGTGTGTGTATGCTGTGTGTGTGTATGCTGTGTGTGTGTGTACTGTGTGTGTGTGTGTATGCTGTGTGTGTGTATGCTGTGTGTGAGTATGTTGTGTGTGTGCTGTATGTGTGTGTATGCTGTGTGTGTGGTGTGTGTATGCTGTGTGTTTGTTGTGTGTGTGCGTGTGTGCTGTGTGTGTGTGTGTATGCTGTGTGTGTATGTTGTGTGTGTGTGTGTATGCTGTGTGTGTGTATGCTGTGTGTGTGTTGTGTATGTATGTATGTATGCTGTGTGTGTATGCTGTGTGTGTATGCTGTGTGTGTGTATGCTGTGTGTGTGTATGCTGTGTGTGTGTGTGCTGTGTGTGTGTATGTTGTGTGTGTGCTGTGTGTGTGTTGTGTATGTATGTATGCTGTGTGTGTGTATGCTGTGTGTGTGTATGCTGTGTGTGTGTATGCTGTGTGTGTATGCTGTGTGCGTGTGTATGCTGTGCGTGTGTATGCTGTGTGTGTATGCTGTGTGTGTGTGTATGCTGTGTGTGTGTGCTGTGTGTGTGGTGTGTGTGTATGTTGTGTGTGTGTATGTTGTGTGTGTGTGTATGCTGTGTGTGTGTGTGCTGTGTGTGTGTATGCTGTGTGTGTGTATGCTGTGTGTGTGTATGTTGTGTGTGTGCTGTGTGTGTGTGTGTGCTGTGTGTGTGTATGCTGTGTGTGTGTATGTTGTGTGTGTGCTGTGTGTGTGTGTGTATGCTGTGTGTGGTGTGTGTATGCTGTGTGTGTGTTGTGTGTGTGCGTGTGTGCTGTGTGTGTGTGTATGCTGTGTGTGTATGTTGTGTGTGTGTTGTGTATGTATGCTGTGTGTGTATGCTGTGTGTGTGTATGCTGTGTGTGTATGCTGTGTGTGTGTGTGGTGTGTGTGTATGTTGTGTGTGTGTATGTTGTGTGTGTATGCTGTGTGTGTATGTTGTGTGTGTATGCTGTGTGTGTGTATGCTGTGTGTATGCTGTGTGTGTGTGTGTATGCTTTGTGTGTGTGTGCTGTGTGTGTGTATGCTGTGTGTGTATGCTGTGTGTGTATGCTGTGTATGCTGTGTGTATGCTGTGTGTGTGTATGCTGTGTGTGTGTGGTGTGTGTGTATGCTATGTGGGTGTATGCTGTGTGTATGTATGCTGTGTGTATGTATGCTGTGTGTATGTATGCTGTGTGTGTGTATGCTGTGTGTGTGTGTGTATGCTGTGTGTGTGGTGTGTGTGTATGATGTGTGTATGCTGTGTGTGTATGCTGTGTGTGTGGTGTGTGTGTATGCTGTGTGTATGCTGTGTGTGTGTATGCTGTGTGTGTATGCTGTGTGTGTGTATGCTGTGTGTGTGTATGCTGTGTGTGTGTGTGTGTATGCTGTGCTGTGTGTGTGTGTGTATGCTGTGTGTGTGTGTGTGTATGCTGTGTGTGTATGCTGTGTGTGTATGCTGTGTGTGTGTGTGTATATACTGTGTGTGTATGCTGTGTGTGTGTATGCTGTGTGTGTATGTTGTGTGTGTGTGTTGTGTGTGTATGCTGTGTGTATGCTGTGTGTGTGTATGCTGTGTGTGTGTATGCTGTGTGTGTATGCTGTGTGTGTATGCTGTGTGTGTATGCTGTGTGTGTATGTTGTGTGTGTGTGTGTGCTGTGTGTGTATGTTGTGTGTGTGTATGCTGTGTGTGTATGCTGTATGTATGCTGTGTGTGTGTGTTGTGTGTGTGTATGTTGTGTGTGTGTATGCTGTGTGTGTGTATGCTGTGTGTGTGTGTGTGTATGTTGTGTGTGTATAGTGTGTGTGTGTATGCTGTGTGTATGCTGTGTGTGTATGCTGTGTGTATGCTGTGTGTGTGTGCTGTGTGTGTGTGTATGCTGTGTGTGTATGCTGTGTGTATGCTGTGTGTGTATGCTGTGTGTATGCTGTGTGTATGTTGTGTGTGTGTGCTGTGTGTGTGTGTATGCTGTGTGTGTGTATGCTGTGTGTATGCTGTGTGTATGCTGTGTGTGTGTATGTTGTGTGTGTATGCTGTGTGTGTGTATGCTGTGTGTGTGTGTGTGTATGCTGTGTGTGTATGCTGTGTGTCTGTGTATGCTGTGTGTGTTGAACCTTGAGGAAGGTGTTCTTGCGAACCCGTAGCCCACCCATCCACATGTCGGTGAGCAGCATCTGGCTGCACGTGTGTGCTATGAAGTCTCGCTGCTTGTGTGTGTGTGCTGTGTGTGTATGTGTGCTGTGTGTGTGTGACTGTGTGTGTATGTGTGTCTGTGTGTGTGTGTCTATGTGTGTGTGTGGTGTGTGTGTGGTGTGTGTGTGGTGTGTGTGTGTGTGTGTATGCTGTGTGTGTGTGTGGTGTGTGTGTATGTTGTGTGTGTGTGTGCTGTGTGTGTGTGTGCTGTATGTGTGTATGCTGTGTGTGTGTATGCTGTGTGTGTGTGTGCTGTGTGTGTGTGTGTGCTGTGTGTGTGTGTGCTATGTGTGTATGTGATGTGTGTGTGGTGTGTGTGCTGTGTGTGTACTGTGTGTGTGTGTACTGTGTGTGTGTACTGTGTGTGTGTGTACTGTGTGTGTGTGTGTGTACTGTGTGTGTGTGTATGCTGTATGTATGCTGTGTGTGTGTATGCTGTGTGTGTGCTGTGTGTGTGGTGTGTGTATGCTGTGTGTTTGTTGTGTGTGTGCGTGTGTGCTGTGTGTGTGTGTGTATGCTGTGTGTGTATGTTGTGTGTGTGTGTATGCTGTGTGTGTGTATGCTGTGTGTGTGTGTTGTGTATGTATGTATGTATGCTGTGTGTGTATGCTGTGTGTGTATGCTGTGTGTGTGTATGCTGTGTGTGTATGCTGTGTGTGTGTATGCTGTGTGTGTGTGTGTGCTGTGTGTGTGTATGTTGTGTGTGTGCTGTGTGTGTGTTGTGTATGTATGCTGTGTGTGTGTATGCTGTGTGTGTGCTGTGTGTATGTTGTGTGTGTGTATGTTGTGTGTGTGTATGTTGTGTGTGTGTGTGCTGTGTGTGTGTGTGTATGCTGTGTGTGTGCTGTGTGTGCTGTGTGTGTGTGGTGTGTGTGTACTGTGTGTGTGTGTGGTGTGTGTGCTGTGTGTGTGTGTGCTGTGTGTGTGTGTATGCTGTGTGTGTGTGTGGTGTGTGTGCTGTGTGTGTACTGTGTGTGTGTGTACTGTGTGTGTGTACTGTGTGTGTGTGTACTGTGTGTGTGTGTGTGTGTACTGTGTGTGTGTGTATGCTGTATGTATGCTGTGTGTGTGTGTTGAACCTTGAGGAAGGTGTTCTTGCGAACCCGTAGCCCACCCATCCACATGTCGGTGAGCAGCATCTGGCTGCACGTGTGTGCTATGAAGTCTCGCTGCTTGTGTGTGTGTGCTGTGTGTGTGTGTGTATGCTGTGTGTGTATGTGTGCTGTGTGTGTGTGTATGCTGTGTGTGTGTGTGTGCTGTGTGTGTGTGTCTGCTGTGTCTGTGTGTGTATGTGTGCTGTGTGTGTGTGTATGCTGTGTGTGTGTGGTGTGTGTGTGCTATGTGTGTGTGTATGCTGTGTGTGTGTATGTTGTGTGTGTATGCTGTGTGTGTGTATGCTGTGTGTATGCTGTGTGTGTGTTGAACCTTGAGGAAGGTGTTCTTGCGAACCCGTAGCCCACCCATCCACATGTCGGTGAGCAGCATCTGGCTGCACGTGTGTGCTATGAAGTCTCGCTGCTTGCCGGCCACAGCGAGCTTGAGGCAGGTGGAGTTGCTCCAGTTCTTGAGCTCGTACGTGAGTAGACGCATGGCCACCTGCTCGTCCTGCCGGTACACCTGGTCCAGGAGGTCGACGGCCAGCTGGCCAAACTCCCTGAGCGAGGCGACATCGTTGGTGGGTGGGTGGGTTGGTTGGTGGGTGGGTGGGTTGGTGGGTGGGTTGGTGGGTGGGTGGGTGAGTGAGTGGGTGGTCCAGGAGGTCGACGGCCAGCTGGCCAAACTCCCTGAGCGAGGCGACATCGTTGGTGGGTGGGTGGGTTGGTGGGTGGGTGGGTTGGTGGGTTGGTGGGTGGGTTGGTGGGTTGGTGGGTGAGTGAGTGGGCTGGTGGGTTGGTGGGTTGGTGAGTTGGTGGGTGAGTGGGTTGGTGAGTTGGTTGGTGGGTGGGTTGGTGGGTGGGTGAGTGAGTAGGCTGGTGGGTGAGTGGGTTGGTGAGTTGGTTGGTGGGTGGGTTGGTGGGTGGGTGAGTGAGTGGGTGGTCCAGGAGGTCGACGGCCAGCTGGCCAAACTCCCTGCGCGAGGCGACATCGTTGGTGGGTGGGTTGGTGGGTGGGTGGGTGGGTTGGTGGATTGGTGGGTTGGTGGGTGAGTTGGTGGGTTGGTGGGTGAGTGAGTGGGACGGTGGGTTGGTGGGTTGGTGAGTTGGTGGGTGAGTGGGTTGGTGAGTTGGTTGGTGGGTGGGTTGGTGGGTGGGTGAGTGAGTGGGCTGGTGGGTGAGTGGGTTGGTGAGTTGGTTGGTGGGTGGGTTGGTGGGTGGGTGAGTGAGTGGGTGGTCCAGGAGGTCGACGGCCAGCTGGCCAAACTCCCTGCGCGAGGCGACATCGTTGGTGGGTGGGTTGGTGGGTGGGTGGGTTGGTGGATTGGTGGGTTGGTGGGTGAGTTGGTGGGTTGGTGGGTGAGTGAGTGGGCTGGTGGGTTGGTGGGTTGGTGAGTTGGTGGGTGAGTGGGTTGGTGAGTTGGTTGGTGGGTGGGTTGGTGGGTGGGTGAGTGAGTGGGCTGGTGGGTGAGTGGGTTGGTGAGTTGGTTGGTGGGTGGGTTGGTGGGTGGGTGAGTGAGTGGGTGGTCCAGGAGGTCGACGGCCAGCTGGCCAAACTCCCTGCGCGAGGGGACATCGTTGGTGGGTGGGTGGGTTGGTGGGTGGGTGAGTGGGTGGGTGGGTTGGTGGGTGGGTGAGTGAGTGGGTGGTCCAGGAGGTCGACGGCCAGCTGGCCAAACTCCCTGAGCGAGGCGACATCGTTGGTGGGTGGGTGGGTTGGTTGGTGGGTTGATTGGTGGGTGGATTGGTGGGTGGGTGAGTGAGTGAGTGGTCCAGGAGGTCGACGGCCAGCTGGCCAAACTCCCTGCGCGAGGTGACATCGTTGGTGGGTGGGTGGGTTGGTGGGTGGGTGGGTTGGTGGGTTGGTGGGTGGGTGAGTGAGTGGGTTGGTGGGTGAGTGGGTTGGTGGGTGAGTGGGTTGGTGGGTGGGTGAGTGAGTGGGCTGGAGGGTTGGTGGGTTGGTGAGTTGGTGGGTGAGTGGGTTGGTGAGTTGGTGGGTGAGTGGGTTGGTGAGTGAGTGGGTTGGTGGGTGGGTGAGTGAGTGGGTGGGCCAGGAGGTCGACGGCCAGCTGGCCAAACTCCCTGCGCGAGGCGACATCGTTGGTGGGTGGGTGGGTTGGTGGGTGGGTTGGTGGGTGGGTGAGTGAGTGGGTTGGTGGGTGGGTGGGTTGGTGAGTGGGTTGGTGAGTGAGTGGGCTGGTGGGTGGGTGGGTGCGTGAGTGGGCTGGTGGGTTGGTGGGTTGGTGAGTTGGTGGGTGAGTGGGTTGGTGAGTTGGTGGGTGGGTTGGTGAGTGAGTGGGTTGGTGGGTGGGTTGGTGGGTGGGTGAGTGAGTGGGCTGGTGGGTTGGTGGGTTGGTGAGTTAGTGGGTGAGTGGGTTGGTGAGTTGGTGGGTGGATGGGTTGGTTGGTGGGTGGGTGGGTTGGTGGGTGAGTGAGTGGGTTGGTGGGTGAGTGGGTTGGTGGGTGAGTAAGTGGGTTGGTGGGTGGGTTGGTGGGTTGGTGGGTTGGTGGGTGGGTGGGTGGGTTGGTGGGTGGGTGAGTGGGTGGGTGGGTGGGTGGGTTGGTTGGTGGGTTGGTTGGTTGGTGGGTGGGTGGGTTGGTGAGTGGGTTGGTGGGTGAGTGGATGGGTGAGTGAGTGGGTTGGTGAGTTGGTGGGTGGATGGGTTGGTTGGTGGGTGGGTGGGTGGGTTGGTGGGTGAGTGAGTGGGTTGGTGGGTGAGTGGGTTGGTGGGTGAGTAAGTGGGTTGGTGGGTGGGTTGGTGGGTTGGTGGGTTGGTGGGTGGGTGGGTGGGTTGGTGGGTGGGTGAGTGGGTTGGTGGGTTGGTGGGTTGGTTGGTGGGTTGGTTGGTTGGTGGGTGGGTGGGTTGGTGAGTGGGTTGGTGGGTGAGTGGATGGGTGAGTGGGTTGGTGGGTGGGTTGGTGGGTTGGTAGATGGGTGGGTGGGTGAGTGAGTGGGTTGGTGAGTGGGTAGGTTGGTGGGTGGGTTGGTGGGTGGGTGAGTGAGTGGGTGGTCCAGGAGGTCGACGGCCAGCTGGCCAAACTCCCTGCGCGAGGCGACATCGTTGGTGGGTGGGTGGGTTGGTGGGTGGGTTGGTGGGTGGGTGGGTTGGTGGGTGAGTGATTGGGTTGGTGGGTTGGTGGGTGAGTGAGTGGCTGGTGGGTTGGTGGGTGAGTGAGTGGGTTGGTGGGTTGGTGGGTGAGTGAGTGGGCTGGTGGGTTGGTGGGTTGGTGAGTTGGTGAGTGGGTTGGTGGGTGGGTTGGTGGGTGGGTGAGTGAGTGGGTGGTCCAGGAGGTCGACGGCCAGCTGGCCAAACTCCCTGCGCGAGGCGACATCGTTGGTGGGTGGGTGGGTTGGTGGGTGAGTGGGTTGGTGGGTGAGTGAGTGAGTTGGTGGGTGGGTGAGTGAGTGGGCTGGTGGGTGGGTGGGTGGGTTGGTGAGTGGGTTGGTGGGTGAGTGGGTTGGTGGGTGAGTGGGTTGGTGGGTTGGTGGGTGGGTGGGTGAGTGAGTGAGTGGGTTGGTGAGTGAGTGGGTTGGTGGGTTGGTGAGTTGGTGGGTGAGTGGGTTGGTGGTTGGTGGGTTGGTGGGTGGGTTGGTGGGTTGGTGGGTGGATTGGTGGGTGGGTGAGTGAGTGGGTGGTCCAGCAGGTCGACGGCCAGCTGGCCAAACTCCCTGCGCGAGGTGACAACGTTGGTGGGTGGGTGGGTTGGTGGGTGGGTTGGTGGGTGGGTGGGTTGTTGAGTGGGTTGGTGGGTTGGTGGGTGAGTGAGTGGGCTGGTGGGTTGGTGGGTTGGTGAGTTGGTGGGTGAGTGGGTTGGTGAGTTGGTGGGTGGGTTGGTAAGTGAGTGAGTGGGTTGGTGGGTGGGTTGGTGGGTGGGTGAGTGAGTGAGTGGGTTGGTGGGTTGGTGGGTTGGTGGGTTGGTGGGTTGGTTGGTGGGTTGCTTGGTTGGTGGGTGGGTGGGTTGGTGGGTGAGTGGATGGGTGAGTGAGTGGGTTGGTGGGTTGGTGGGTTGGTAGATGGGTGGGTGGGTGAGTGAGTGGGTTGGTGAGTGGGTGGGTTGGTGGGTGGGTTGGTGGGTTGGTGGGTGGGTGAGTGAGTGGGTGGTCCAGCAGGTCGACGGCCAGCTGGCCAAACTCCCTGCGCGAGGCGACATCGTTGGTGGGTGGGTGGGTTGGTGGGTGGGTTGGTGGGTGGGTTGGTGGGTGGGTCGGTGGGTTGGTGGGTTGGTGGGTGAGTGAGTGGGTTGGTGAGTGAGTGGGTTGGTGGGTTGGTGGGTGAGTGAGTGGGCTGGTGGGTTGGAGGGTTGGTAGATGGGTGGGTGTGTGGGTTGGTTGGTGGGTTGGTGGGTGGGTTGGTTGGTGGGTGGGTTGGTGGGTGGGTGAGTGAGTTGGTTGGTGGATGAGTGAGTGGGCTGGTGGGTGGGTGGGTGAGTGAGTGAGTGGGTGGGTGGGTGGGTGAGTGAGTGGGTGGGTTGGTTGGTGGGTTGGTGGGTGGGTGAGTGAGTGGGTTGGTGGGTGGGTTGGTGGGTGGGTGAGTGAGTGGGTGGGTTGGTGGGTTGGTTGGTGGGTTGGTGGGTGAGTGAGTGGGTTGGTTGGTGGGTTGGTTGGGTTGGTTGGAGGGTGGATGGGTGGGTGGGTTGGTTGGAGGGTGGGTGGGTTGGTGGGTGAGTTGGTTGGTGGGTGAGTGGGTTGGTGGGTTGGTGGGTGGGTTGGTGGGTTGGTGGGTGGGTTGGTGGGTGAGTTGGTTGGTGGGTGGGTTGGTGGGTTGGTGGGTTGGTGAGTGGGTGGGTTGGTTGGTGGGTTGGTGGGTTGGTTGGAAGGTTGGTGGGTGGGTTGGTGGGTGGGGGAGTTGGTTGGTGGGTTGGTGGGTGGGTTGGTGGGTGAGTTGGTGGGTGGGTGAGTTGGTTGGTGGGTGGGTTGGTGGGTTGGTGGGTGGGTGAGTAAGTGGGTTGGTTGGTGGGTGGGTTGGTGGGTGGGTTGGTGGGTGGGTTGGTGGGTGAGTGGGTGGGTGGGTTGGTGGGTGGGTGAGTGGGTGGGTTGGTTGGTGGGTGGGTGGGTGGGTTGGTGAGTGGGTTGGTGGGTTGGTGGGTTGGTTGGTGGGTTGGTGGGTGGGTTGGTTGGTGGGTGGGTTGGTGAGTGGGTGGGTTGGTGAGTGGGTGTGTTGGTGGGTGGGTTGGTGGGTGGGTTGGTTGGTGGGTGGGTTGGTTGGTGGGTGGGTTGGTGGGTGGGTTGGTGGCGAGTGGGTTGGTGGGTGGGTTGGTGGGTGGGTGGGTTGGTGAGTGGGTGGATGGGTGAGTGAGTGGTTGAGTGAGCGAGTGAGTGAATGAGTGAGTGAGTGAATGAGTGAGTGAGCGAGTGAGCGAGCGAGTGGTTGAGTGAGTGAGTGAGTGACTGAGTGAGCGAATGGTTGAGTGAGTGAATGAGTGAGTGACTGAGTGAGTGGTTGAGTGAATGAGTCAATGAAGGAGTGAATGAATGAGTGAATGAATGAGTGAGTGAATGAGTGAGTGAATGAGCGAGTGAATGAGTGAGTGAGTGTTTGAGTGACTGAGTGAGTGTTTGAGTGACTGAGTGAGTGAATGAGTGACTGAGTGAGTGTTTGAGTGACTGAGTGAGTGACTGAGTGGTTGAGTGAGTGAGTGATTGAATGAGCGAGCGAGTGACTGAGCGAGTGAGTGAGTGGGTGAGTGGTTGAGTGACTGAGTGAGTGAGTGGGTGAGTGGTTGAGTGACTGAGTGAATGAGTGAGTGGGTGAGTGGTTGAGTGAGTGAGTGACTGAGTGAGTGAATGAGTGACTGAGTGAATGAGTGAATGAGTGAGTGGGTGAGTGGTTGAGTGAGTGAGTGACTGAGTGAGTGAATGAGTGACTGAGTGAATGAATGAATGAATGAGTGAATGAGCGAGCGAGCGCCTCACTTGGAGTTGCTATCGAGCTCCTGAGAGACGTCATCCACGACGTCCGTGAGCGACGCTTCGCTGCACATGGCCTTGTACAGTTTGCACGTCACCAGCGGGTGAGCGGGTGGTACAGTGAATGAGTGAATGAATGAGTGGTTGACTGAGTGAATGAGTGGGTGAGTGTGTGAGTGGTTGAGTGAGTAAGTGAGTGAGTGAGTGGTTGAGTGAGTGACTGAGTGAGTGAATGAGTGGTTGAGTGAGTGACTGAGTGAGTGACTGAGTGAGTGAGTGACTGAGTGAGTGGGTGGGTGAGTGAGTGACTGAGTGAGTGAGTGGTTGAGTGAGTGACTGAGTGAGTGAATGAGTGGTTGAGTGACTGAGTGAGTGACTGAGTGAGTGAGCGAGTGGTTGACTGAGTGAGTGAATGAATGAATGAGTGAATGAATGAGTGAGCGAGCGAGCGCCTCACTTGGAGTTGCTATCGAGCTCCTGAGAGACGTCATCCACGACGTCCGTGAGCGACGCTTCGCTGCACATGGCCTTGTACAGTTTGCACGCCACGAGCGCCTTCGCCATAGCCTCCTCGCCGTGCTGCCAGAAGAACAGCGCCATCTTCTGGCGCTTCATCAGCACGGCCCACACCTTCAGGGGGAGGGAGGGGCAAAGATAAAGCTCCCCCAGGTAGCCTCTAGCAAGGCTGTAGGGGCAAGTGCTGCCAGAACAACAGCGCCATCTTCTGGCGCTTCATCAGCACGGCCCACACCTTCAGGGGGAGGGCAAAGATAAAGCTCCCCCAGGTGGCCTCTAGCAAGGCTGTAGGGCCAAGTGCTGTAACACACACAGACAAAGACAAAGCTGCCCCAGGTAGCCTCTAGCAGGGATGCAGGGGCAAGTGCAGTGGTAGACACACACAGAAAAAGCTCCCCCAGGTAGCCTCTAGCAGGGATGCAGGGGCAAGTGCTGTCAAACACACACAGATAAAGCTCCCCCAGGTAGCTTCTAGCAGGACTGTAGGGGCAAGTGCAGTGTCTCACACAGACAAAGCTGCCCCAGGTAGCCTCCGGCAGGGCTGTAGGGGCAAGTGCTGTGTCTCCCACACAAAGTTCCCCCAGGTAGCCTCTAGCAGGGCTGTAGGGGCAAGTGCAGTGTCTCACACACAGACAAAGCTCCCCCAGGTAGCCTCTAGCAGGGCAGTAGGGGCAAGTGCTGTCACACACACAGACAAAGTTCCCCCAGGTAGCCTCCGGCAGGGCTGTAGGGGCAAGTGCTGTTACACACACACAGACAAAGCTCCCCCAGGTAGCCTCTAGCAGGGCTGTAGGGGCAAGTGCTGCCAGAAGAACAGCGCCATCTTCTGGCGCTTCATCAGCACGGCCCACACCTTCAGGGGGAGGGAGGGGCAAAGATAAAGCTCCCCCAGGTAGTCTCTAGCAGGGCTGTAGGGGCAAGTGCAGTGTCACATTCACACAGACAAAGCTCCCCCAGGTAGTCTCTAGCAGGGATGCAGGGGCAAGTGCAGTGTCACATTCACACAGATAAAGCTTCCCCAGGTAGCCTCTAGCAGGGCTGTAGGAGCAAGTGCAGTGTAACATTCACACAGATAAAGCTCCCCCAGGTAGCCTCTAGCAGGGCTGTAGGGGCAAGTGCAGTGTCTCACACACACAGATAAAGCTCCCCCAGGTAGCCTCTAGTAGGGATGCAGGGGCAAGTGCTGTCAAACACACACAGATAAAGATAAAGCTGCCCCAGGTAGCCTCTAGCAGGGCTGTAGGGGCAAGTGCAGTGTAACATTCACACAGACAAAGCTACACAGGTAGCCTCTAGCAGGGATGCAGGGGCAAGTGCAGTGGTAGACACACACACAGACAAAGCTCCCCCAGGTAGCCTCTAGCAGGGCTGTAGGGCCAAGTGCAGTGTTAGACACACACAGACAAAGCTCCCCCAGGTAGCCTCTAGCAGGGATGCAGGGGCAAGTGCTGTCACACACACAGACAAAGCTCCCCCAGGTAGCCTCGAGCAGGGATGCAGGGGCAAGTGCAGTGTCTCACACACACACAAAGACAAAGCTGCCCCACGTAGCCTCTAGCAAGGATGCAGGGGCAAGTGCAGTGTCACATTCACACAGACAAAGCTCCCCCAGGTAGTCTCTAGCAGGGCTTCAGGGACAAGTGCTGTCACACACACAGACAAAGCTCCCCCAGGTAGCCTCTAGCAGGGCTGTAGGGGCAAGTGCTGTCACACACACAGACAAAGCTCCCCCAGGTAGCCTCTAGCAGGGATGTAGGGGCAAGTGCTGTCACACACAGACACAGACAAAGCTCCCCCAGGTAGCCTCTAGCAGGGATGCAGGGGCAAGTGCTGTCACACACACAGACAAAGCTCCCCCAGGTAGCCTCTAGCAGGGCTGTAGGGGCAAGTGCAGTGTCTCACACACACAAAGCTCCCCCAGGTAGCCTCTAGCAGGGCAGTAGGGGCAAGTGCTGTCACACACAGACACAGACAAAGCTCCCCCAGGTAGCCTCTAGCAGGGATGCAGGGGCAAGTGCTGTCACATACACAGACAAAGCTCCCCCAGGTAGCCTCTAGCAGGGATGCAGGGGCAAGTGCAGTGTCTCACACACACACAGACAAAGCTCCCCCAGGTAGCCTCTAGCAGGGCTTCAGGGGCAAGTGCTGTCACATACACAGACAAAGCTCCCCCAGGTAGCCTCCGGCAGGGCTGTAGGGGCAAGTGCTCTCACACACACAGAAAAAGCTCCCCCGGGTAGCCTCTAGCAGGGCTGTAGGGGCAAGTGCTGTCACACACACAGACAAAGCTCCCCCAGGTAGCCTCTAGCAGGGCTTCAGGGGCAAGTGCTGTCACATACACAGACAAAGCTCCCCCAGGTAGCCTCCGGCAGGGCAGTAGGGGCAAGTGCTGTCACACACAGACACAGACAAAGCTCCCCCAGGTAGCCTCTAGCAGGGCTGTAGGGGCAAGTGCAGTGTCTCACACACACAAAGCTCCCCCAGGTAGCCTCTAGCAGGGCAGTAGGGGCAAGTGCTGTCACACACAGACACAGACAAAGCTCCCCCAGGTAGCCTCTAGCAGGGATGCAGGGGCAAGTGCAGTGTCTCACACACACAGACAAAGCTCCCCCAGGTAGCCTCTAGCAGGGCTTCAGGGGCAAGTGCTGTCACATACACAGACAAAGCTCCCCCAGGTAGCCTCCGGCAGGGCTGTAGGGGCAAGTGCAGTGTCTCACACACACAAACAAAGCTCCCCCAGGTAGCCTCTAGCAGGGCTGTAGGGGCAAGTGCAGTGTCTCACACACACAAACAAACCTCCCCCAGGTAGCCTCTAGCAGGGCTGTAGGGGCAAGTGCTGTCACACACACAGACAAAGCTCCCCCAGGTAGCCTCCGGCAGGGCTGTAGCGGCAAGTGCAGTGTCTCACACGCACAGACAAAGCTCCCCCAGGTAGCCTGTAGCAGGGCAGTAGGGGCAAGTGCAGTGTCTCACACACACAGACAAAGCTCCCCCAGGTAGCCTCCGGCAGGGCTGTAGGGGCATGTGCTGTGTCTCACACACACAGACAAAGCTCCCCCGGGTAGCCTCTAGCAGGGCTGTAGGGGCAAGTGCAGTGTCTCACACACACAGACAAAGCTCCCCCAGGTAGGCTCCGGCAGGGCTGTAGGGGCAAGTGCAGTGTCTCACACACAGACAAAGTTCCCCCAGGTAGCCTCTAGCAGGGCTGTAGTGGCAAGTGCTGTCACACACACAGACAAAGTTCCCCCAGGTAGCCTCCGGCAGGGCTGTAGGGGCAAGTGCAGTGTCTCACACACACAGACAAAGCTCCCCCAGGTAGCCTCCGGCAGGGCTGTAGGGGCAAGTGCAGTGTCTCACACACACAGACAAAGCTCCCCCAGGTAGCCTCTAGCAGGGCTGTAGGGGCAAGTGCAGTGTCTCACACACAGACAGACAAAGCTCCCCCAGGTAGCCTCCGGCAGGGCTGTAGAGGCAAGTGCAGTGTCTCACACACAGACAAAGCTACCCCAAGTAGCCTCTAGCAGGGCTGTAGGGGCAAGTGCAGTGTCTCACACACACACACAGACAAAGCTCCCCCAGGTAGCCTCTAGCAGGGCTGTAGGGGCAAGTGCTGTCACACACACAGACAAAGCTCCCCCAGGTAGCCTCCGGCAGGGGCTGTAGTGGCAAGTGCAGTGTCTCACACACACACAGACAGACAAAGCTCCCCCAGGTAACCTCTAGCAGGGCTGTAGGGGCAAGTGCAGTGTCTCACACACACAGACAAAGCTCCCCCAGGTAGCCTCTGGCAGGGGCTGTAGGGGCAAGTGGAGTGTCTCACACACACACACAGACAGACAAAGCTCCCCCAGGTAGCCTCTGGCAGGGCTGTAGGGGCAAGTGCAGTGTCTCACACACACAGACAGACAAAGCTCCCCCAGGTAGCCTCTAGCAGGGGCTGTAGTGGCAAGTGGAGTGTCTCACACACACACAGACAGACAAAGCTCCCCCAGGTAGCCTCTGGCAGGGCTGTAGGGGCAAGTGCTACTAGTAGCGAGTAGCAGCGCCACCTATAATGCACACACAGACAAAGCTCCCCCAGGTAGCCTCTAGCAGGGGCTGTAGTGGCAAGTGGAGTGTCTCTCACACACACACACAGACAGACAAAGCTCCCCCAGGTAGCCTCTATCAGGGTTGTAGTGGCAAGTGGAGTGTCTCTCACACACACACACACACAGACAAAGCTCCCCCAGGTAGCCTCTGGCAGGGGCACTGCATCACCACCTCCTGCCCACCGCGGCTATTGTCACTCACCATGAGCTCGTGGAAGGGGTAAGGGAAGTGGTTGACCTCGGGGTCGTCCATGTCGATGTCCACCTCCTCCTCACGCTTCCTCTTCCTCCGCTTGTTCTGGTGGTGGCGGAGCTGCGGCTCCTC